AAGGCCCTCAACTAGCAATACATCAAGATAGTAGTAGATGGGGATTACCTACACTATCCTTTCCAAGTATTTCTCCTTTGTTATTATTTCCATAGGTTACAAATCTCTTCTTCTTTGCCATAAAGTCAATGAAGAGAGATATGTCTCTTGTCATATGTCTTGAGCATCCACTATTGAAAAACCATCTTCTCTTCGTAGGCTCAAGACTTTGTACCTATAAAAACAATCAAAGGAAATAAGTACCCAATTGTTTATTGGATCCTTGGTAGTGAATGAAATCTTGGTTGCATTTAGGCAACCATTGATAAAACCCTTTAGGAACTAAAAACCTCCTAAAGTGACATTTAGCAATGGTATGACCCCTTTTGTAACAATACAAGCAAGTGAGGTTAACCTCGGTATCACTTTTGTTACCTTGATTTTTGATCACATATGTATATTTTTTATAAGGATTAATCATACTTTTTCTAAAGTGTGATTTATCAATAGCAAAAGTGATTTTTGATTCTAGAGCCTTGTCAAGTTTGGCTTTAAGAGTCCTAACCTCTTTTTTCCAAATATGAAAAGTATCACATCCAAAGTTTAACCATCTACTTTTTTCTTCCTCAACATCTATCTTTGTTACTTCCACCATGGATGCCTTGAGAGCCTTCAATTCCCTTTCAAAATCGGAGATCTTTTTCTCCAATTGAGTAAAAATTTGTTTGTTTGAGGCCAAGCGTTTAAAGGCTTCCTTAGCCTCATGGTGTAAGGTGTTAAAGGCATATTGTAATTACTAGAGTTTTCGTATTTAGCATGTCGTATCTTTTTATTCTTCTTCTTTTGATGAGCCGAGAGACAAAGGTTAACAGACTCTTCTTCGTCACTTGAACTATCATCCCCAAATGACTCACTATCATTTTCCCAAGCGATGTAAGCTCTTATAGGCTTACCTTGTTTCTTTTGTGAGCGATTACTCTCTTTTCCTTTGTCCTTCTTCATCAATGGACAATTCGGCTTATAATGCCTGACTTTTCCATAATTAGAGCACGATCCTCTTACTTTACTACCCTTATTACCTTCATTCTTGGAAGACCTTGATTGTCTTCTAAAATTGACGAAATTCTTTTCAGAATGTTGGTTACCATTATTCTTTACATAGCGATTGTATCGCTTCACGAACAACCTCATATTGTCATCTATTTCTTCATCATTGTCATCACTCGAGTCGTAATCACTTAGCTCTTTTGCGGAGGACTTTGAGCAATAAGTTTTTAGAGTTATAGACTTCTTTTCCGTAGTTTTGGTCTTTTCTTTCTTTTCCTTTTTCTCAAATTGATCAAGGCTAATAAGCACTTGCTCATGTTCTTGGAGCTTTCCAAAAAGAGTTGTAAGATCCAATTTCATAAGATCGTTTGCTTCCTTTATGGATGTGACTTTTGGTTGCCGCTCCCTTGCAAGACATCTTAAAACTTTGTTAGTAGCAACGTAATTGGAAATTGGTCTACCAAGTGAATTTAGTATACTGATTAAGTGAGAAAATCTCTTTTGCATGTCGGCAATGGTTTTCTCTTGTTCCATGTGTAAGAGATCAAACTCTTGAGTCAAAGTGTTGATTCGAGCTAGCTTTACATCATTAGTTCCCTCATGGGTAACTTGCAATGCGTCCCACATAACTTTAGCAGTCATATAATGTGAAACTTTATAATATTCATCAACTTCTAAGGAGGAGATCAAAATATTTCTAGCCTTCCAATCGTAGTTGTACTTTTTCTCATCTTCATCATTCCATTGTGCTTCAGGCTTGAGCACAACAATGTTATTTTCATCGGTCATGATAATTTCTATAGGACCGTTAAATATAATGTTCCATACCTTTTTATCAATAGAATTGATATGCACGCACATACAGTCTGTAATACCCCAAATTTTTTCCTTAGACTAGTCGTTTAATTTCGCATTCCATCTAACCACTAACCAGTTTGCTCAGTCCGTCGGTTTTGCAGGAAAAATCATATTGTGTGCAGTTTAATGGGGAAGGGAAAATGGTCATTTATTTGCAACCCGCTGACAGTTTGTGAACCTTGGTTCCCCAGGAAACCCTCGAGCGATTAGGGTTTCCGCCTCCGAGTCATGTGACTTATTTGATGGTGAGTTGAGGTTTACAGTAGTTTGGACGTCAGGTTTCTCGTGACATAGCACAGTTTATTCGAGAGTCGAGTTTCAATCGTCAAATGGATTTCGAGAATACTGTTTGATTCCTAAACCATATGGAGCTGAGTGCGTTGCAGTGTAAGCAGTTTCGAGTTAAATCGGGGTGAGAATCTGCTTTGAGGAATTTACTTTGACATACGCATGTTTCTCGCTTTCCACTGGTCAACGATCAATTTTAAGAAAACAGTGGAATTTTGGTGAGCGTTGGATGTATAATAAACATTTGTGGTTTTGATCATGATTATTAGTCAAGCTGATTCAGGTTACCGGTTTAAATAGTCCAGACGTGATTCGAATTTTCAAAACAGAAGGCTGATTCGTTTTACCATTTGACTAGGGCTGGAAATGAGTCGAGTCGAGTCGAACTTGTCTTAGCTCGACTTGACTCGATAAGAATATGTTCAACTCGAAACTCGACTCGAGTTCGACACGAACTTTATTTTAAGCTCAAACTCGACTCGTTTAAAGTTCATGAACAACTCGATTCAGCTCGTTAGATTCATCTCATTAGGTTCAGATCGTTAGGTTCATCTCATTAGGTTCATCTCGTATGGTTCACGAACTTAAAAGTCATTTTTTTTAATCTATTTTTTTTTCTATTTGACATTTTAAATTAATACTGAATTAATATAAAATTTATCAAATTAAAATTTAACTTTGTCTCCAAAGATCTACACCATAAAAAACTATCAAATACCAATCTTCAAGATATACATTTGAAACTCTAATTCAAAAATTACTCAATTAGAATTTAATTTTGTCTTACAATTTTATCTAAATAATTAGGAACCTTACAACTTTTAATAAAATATTATAACAAAAGGTTAAAAGTATTTTTTTAAATATTTTATTTGATAAGTTAAAAGGTTAAAATCTATGCATATATATATATATATATATATATATATATATATATATATATATATATATATATATATATATATATATATATATATATATATATATATATATATATATATATATATATATATATATATATATATATATATATATATATATATATATTAATAATAATCGAGTTGACTCATGAACCTAACGAGTCGAACTATACATAGTTCAAGTTCAACTCATTTAGTTAACGAACTTAGTTTTTGGCTCATATTCAGCTCATTTGGTTCATGAACGTTCAACGATTTAGTTATCGAATCGAACTTCGAACTATGTTCGAGTTGGTTTGGTTCATTGCCAGCCCTACATTTGACTGAAATTCTTTGCTTATCGGTTCAAGGCCGTATTCACTGTTAATATCATATACAAATTGACTTGCAAGAGGTTTGTTGAGCTCAGTGGTTAATGGTCAAACATCATAGTAATTGGACAATCGTCATTAACTGAATTTACTTGATAAATTCAAGCAGTTGACTTTTAAATCGGTTGAATTTTCAATCAGAGGAATTTGGTCAGGTGGATTTTAATCAGACGAGTTGGAATCATTTGAAGTCAGTCAGGTTGATTTGTTTGGATGATCTTGACCGGGTGAATTTAGTCGGGCCAATTTAATTAAGTGGCTTTATCCGATTAAGTTTAAACAGAGAATTTTGTTTAGACGAATTTAAATGGGAGTAGCTTAACTGTTTAAATTTACTACATCAAAGTTGTTGGGTTGAATATACGTGAAGGAATTAAGTCGGATAAATTCAATCAAGATAATGTTCGTTGGAATTAAGCGGAGGAATTCGGTTGGTTAAATTTTAATTAAAAGGAGTTTTATTCATTTAAGTTTTATCGGAGGTTTAGAGATTTTAATTGGAGATTGAAATTGAAAGTTGTAATAGAGAAATGCAATTGAAAACTAATTAAATTTTTTTTATTCATTTCAATTTTGGTTATTACAATATTTCAATAATACAATATTGGAAAAGAATTATAAATTAAAATACATTTTTCTTCTAAAGTTTCTAAATTCCTGATTTATCCTTCAAAGCCGATTCTTCAATTCCGATCTGTTTTCTCCGAACCTGTAAAATCAACAGAGCAATAATTTTTTAATGGTTAGCAAATTGTTTTTTCGGACTCCGACACCCATAATTCCGAAAACACGATCACCAACATGTGATTCTTGAAAACACGATCAAGAATCTAACTTGAGTTCTGAATACTAATTTGTTAGTGCATGAGATACTTTTAATAAGAAGAGAAAGAGAGAGAATAAGAAAAATAAAAATTGATATTATTCAATGATTGTGATATAAAAATAAATTACAAAATATATATATTTATATCCAACTAAATAACTTAACTTTAAATAACAAATGTAATAAATTAAATAACAAAGTTTAAACTTTGAACTTATCAAATAAGTTAGATTATATTATTTCTCAATAAAAGCTAATCCAAACAAGACTATAAATACCACTAGAGATTATATTATATCTGAATAAAAACTAATCCAAACAATACTATAAACAGCACTAGAATAAATACTATTATGTACACGTGAGAGACTATAAAGGCAATCAAAAGTCAAAAGTGGTCCTATCAATACCAACAAGAACGATTAATAAGTCATAAATACTTATATTTATAATATAAGAAATGTATTTATTGGGAAAATGAAAATGGGCATGTTGAAAAGACATGTCGAAGATTCTCATACACATGACAATTTATTATGCACCATTTTCGCGTTGAAAGGAACGCTACCGACCTACTTATAGTATAGTCCAAAGTTTGAAAAATATCCATTACCGACGGTTGTGACAAAATGGTATGATGCCGAGATATCATATTCACCCTTTAAAAATGAATAAATTCTGATTAATTCACACAAAAGTTAATTGTTAATAATGTTGATGAAGTCTAATTCCTTTGCAGTGATGAAGAATTTGTTAGCTTCAGTTTCATTGGTAGCATTAGTTTGTGTTGCTAATGCACTCACCAAAAGTGATTTCCCTCCTCACTTCTTGTTCGGTGCTTCAACCTCTGCTTATCAGGTTCATCTCTTTCATATCAATTCCCTATGTATGAGTCTAAGTTGTTTATAGGAGTAGATTCTGGGTATATTTTTCTTATACTTTTGCACGCCAAGTGTTTGATCTTAAGCCTGTTGCATCAGCAAAATATATAGGTGTTTCATTGCAGAACGAGCCTCCTAAATCAAACTTTCTCATTATTTTAACCATTGTGTTGAAATTGGGATGATATGAAAGGTTGAAGGTGCAGCGAATGAAGATGGCAGGAAACCAAGCATATGGGATACCTTTGCACACGCTGGCAATGGTGCTCTTTCTTATTTATTTCTTTTATGTATATTCTTCGTATTAGTGCCTTCAATTATTCATGTTATACTATTAGTTGATGCTATAGATGAATTAGTTTTACTATTTCAATTAATCATGTTATAAAGTCATAGTTACAACAATTAAATTCTTCATTTCAATTAAATTTACAGGAGGGCACTACAAGGGAGACGGTGACATTGCATGTGATCAATATCACAAATATAAGGTATGCACTAGAAACATCCTTGGAATATATCAATTTTCTTTCTTATCTTTGACGTATCAAAACATTGATTTTAAGTTAATTTTCTTTACCTAAAAAATAATTTGTACCAAAAAGGACCCTCTAATTATTTATTTGTATATTTATGTTGCCTTACACATGCTTTCATTTCATGCAGGATGATGTCAAACTCATGGCTAAAATGGGCATAGATGCCTACAGATTTTCTATATCATGGTCAAGACTTATTCCAGGTATGATTCACCCTAATACGCGATCACGGAGTAAGACAAGTAGTTATTCTACCATCTGATTCATTCTAATACCAGATGGGAGAGGGCCGATAAATCCTAAGGGATTGGAGTATTACAACAACCTTATCAATGAACTAACAAGCCAAGGTTATTTTGCAAACTATATTTACCTTTTAAAGTTCAATTTTCGATGTCAGTTGCAAATTGCGGAAAAAAGTGGTTTGTTCAAATTATTTTGTGCTACAATGCTATAATGCCACTCTAGCTGCTAGTTGACAGTGTAATTAACACTAAAAAAGAAGTTCTTCTGGATAACATAGTTATTCTTTTCCCACTTTATTTGTAGGAATCCAAGCACATGTTACATTGCATCATTGGGATCTACCACAACCACTTGAAGATGAATACGGAGGATGGGTTAACCGAAGAGTTATGTATGATTTCCAGACTAAAATTGCCTAATAAGATGGCCATCTTGTGTTAGATAGTAGTTCAGAGTTCCAATAAACTATATCTAACACAAAATAAGAAAAACAATCTTTCTCTAACTAATCGTTGGATATTTATTTATATTTTCATCCAGAAAAGACTTCACAGCATATGCAGATGTATGCTTTAGAGAGTTTGGAGATAGAGTTAAACATTGGACTACAGTGAATGAAGGAAATGTATGTTCACTTGGGGGCTATGATACAGGAAATTTACCGCCTCAAAGGTGTTCATCTTCCTCTATATCTAACTGCTCCAAAGGCAATTCTTCAACTGAACCATATTTGGTAACTCATCATATGTTGTTAGCACATGCATCAGCTGCAAGACTATATAGGACAAAGTACAAGGTAAACCAGTGTATGCCACATACACCATTTTACTTTGTCATTTATCTAAAGCTTTCCACATTTGGTAACATAGTTAAAGTGTTGTCAATCGCAGAAAAGAGTAACTTTGTTAAAGTTCTACTATGCTACAATGTTGCAATGCTATATGATTGCTATAATTTATATTTGGTAACAGTTTGTACTAAAGATTATATCCAATAACTATATGAATTTGTTTATATTCTAATATGCTATTATGTTATTGCGCGCCATTGGCTATAGCAACTACTATTTGATAAAATTGGGTTATAATATCATTTTCACTGTCATAATCAACGTATCATTTCTTCATAAATGCTACATATGGTAACTCGCAGGCCAAGCAAAAGGGATTTATTGGTTTTAATCTTCTTGTTTTTGGTTTTGTTCCACTAACAAACACTAGTGAAGACATAATTGCCGCTAGAAGAGCCAGAGACTTCTATATTGGATGGTAAGTAACATTTTCATTGTGATATCTAACATAAGGATTAATTTGCTTATGAAATTTTGCTCTCTTGGAGATTAGTTTTCCCATTATTAGTCCATGCACAAGTACAATTTTTGACAAATATCTCCATGAGATGATTTAATACCTTTTTGCAAATTAGTCTCTACCGAGTTGGTATTGGTATGCTATTATAGTGCAATTGACATTTGCTTAACTTGTCACGTCATATCTTCTAATAATAGAAGCTAACAGGCCATTTGTAATTACATTTTACAAATTCGGAGATGTATTTCCCAACTAACAAAAATGACATTGATGTATACAATTTTGAGGACCAACTTTCCAATTCACTCACTACCTTAATAGTGGTAGCTATTTCTTTATACAATAATGAATTATTAGACTTAATTTTATTTTTTCTTTGTTGAGACAGGTTTCTGAATCCCTTCATATTTGGAGAATATCCTGACTCCATGAAAAAGAATGCTGGTTCAAGACTTCCTTACTTCACCATCAAGGAATCAAATTTGGTTAAGGGCTCAATTGACTTCCTTGGAATCAATTTTTACTATGCATTTTGTATTAAGAACGACCCAAAAAGCCTGCAGAAAAAGGATAGAGATTACACAGCAGATATGGCTGTGGAGGCTACACGTATGATTATTTTTGTGCCATTTACTGCACCAATTTTGATTGCATAACCAGTTATATATTGAGGTTAAACAAGTAAAATTCACACACACGTCTCTTTATTCAATGCCTCGTTAGTCTATTTTTGAGGAACTTTCAACTTTTTAATGATTTTTTTACCCCTATTTGTAGTCTACACTGGAAATGATACAACTGAAGATGAGGTAAAATTAGAGTATGAACATTGAAGTTCCTTTTGTTTTTTTTATCATCGATGCTACAACCTATTCCACTTACTGTTGATTGGTTTGTTTAGGTTCCAGCTATACCCTGGATTTTGGAAGGGCTGCTTCAATCATTGAAGAATGATTATGGCAATTTTCCAATCTACATTCATGAAAATGGTATGTCTCAATTATATAAACATTTTGAAAGCTTACCTATCAAATATGTCTCCATTACCAGTCAACTGTTAGAGGTAAATGAAGATCTAAAACACTATTAGAGAAACTGTTAAGAGAGGTTTCGAGATTAATGAGTTTGATAAAAATATAATTTTTGAAAAAACATTATAGCATAGTTTGATATGGAAAAGGGCATCAGGTGTTCTATGTGATGAAAAGACCTGCAATTTTGTATAGGACAGACAGAATGTTGGACGGTTTAAAATCAACACGAGAATAAAATAAGTGTAGCAAAGATGAGGATGCTACGGCAGATAGGTGGTAAGACTCGACAGGATAAAATTAAAAATTAAAAAAATTATGGGATAAGACTTAGTTCTTGTTGTATTATAGCATAGTTTGATCCATGAAACCGATAATACTCAGTGAAAAGTACTTGCTTGTTGTTGGTGGTGTTACTGTATGTAAACTTATATGTAGTGTTGAGCTTATAAGTTTGTACAACAATAGTCTTGTGACTTAATTAAACACCTTATTACATAATAAACTTTTATATAGGTTTCAGCAGTAAGAGACTGATACGCAAACGATTGTAAAATGATCCTTAGTGTTATTTTATTAAATTCGGTCCAATCTAGTTTATTTCTATTTGAGTTTTTATCAATAACGCCAAAACCTTCAAGGGATGTGATGAATTTTTGAATTTCTCAGGTCAACAAACACGTAGAAATTCATCATTAGATGATTGGTCAAGGGTGAGGTATATGCATCAATACATAGGGAGCCTACTTGATATGTTGAGGTACCTCTATTTTCATTTTCAACTACACATTACCAATATTCATAACATTCATCCAAATACTAGTGAAAACATATTTTCACTGTTTTTTTTTTTCTTTCATATTAACAGGAATGGATTGAATATAAAAGGTTACTTTGTATGGTCCTTTTTGGATGCATTTGAGTTACTAAGTGGATACGAATCGAGTTTTGGCTTATATTACATAGATTTGAACGATCCAACTTTGAGGAGGCAACCTAAACTTTCTTCTGTGTGGTACTCAAATTTTCTAAACAACAAAACTATGGACTCAAAGATCACAATGAAAATTGAGGAGCATTCTTCTATCTCCAACACTCCCTTGATGCATACTGCCACTTAATGTAACTAGGACTAGTTAAAATGAATCTATCTCCAACTCTTTTAATAATAGATGGATAAGTGAATGTCAAAAACTTATATATTATGCGGTGTCGGTATCATATGTTTTTGAAATTATCAGTTTAAAAGTGTCTGCGTCGTATCGTCAGTGTCTCTCTGTCAGAGTCTGTGCTTCATAGATAAATACCAAAAAGTTAATACATTAATCAATTCTCGTTATGAACTTTGTGCTGATCTTAATTTATGTGCTAGGATTCTTAATTCACTATACATTTTAGAACATTCAAGAGAAAAATCTGTCATAGCCCTAAAGAACTCTGCCAAGTTATTTTTGAGACACACCAAAGATTTTTGCCTCACATGTAAGCACTGTCTTTCAAGAGAAACTTTTTCCTCATCCAACTTCTTTTCTAATTCAATCAAAACACTCTTTTCCCTTACAACCTCAACAGGTTCATTACTATCATCACCTTGTTCCCTATTTGTATCAAACTCACCTAGTCTTTTCTTTTTCTTGTATTTGATCTCCCACTTATCAAATCGTCGGCTTTTGTGCGTAAGCTCCTTTTGCATCTCCTCGCATTTTCTTTTTAAAACCAACTCTTCTTCTTGCTGTTGGTAAAGAGAATCTATCACAGCAACAAAGTGTGATATGGCTTTCCAAGCAAGTTCAATAGAAAGTTTCTCTAGATGATCATTCCAAGCATGAAGAAGGATTTGTATCGACGGTGAAGAAATCTTTTCCTTTATATCATTTTCAACAAGGGTGAGATTAAGTTTTAACCAACTGTATAAGGCTTTTACGAAACCCTTCTGATTGTTTATCAACTTTTCAAACTGTGATTCCAACTCTTGCATAACATTCAATAACTGATATGTTCTATCATGATGATGTTCACTTGTTTCAGTAGGAAACTGAGAATCCAGTGATTTCACTAACTTCATAACAATTAACTGCTTCTTATGATGGTAATGCATGGTTCCCCACATTGTGGCCATCCTGTATTGCATGAAAAACACCTTTAGTCTTATATTCTTCTTTGTGAACCAAATCGTAGCAAATTGTTGTCATTAACTGATATAAGAACTACCGATTGTGAAAATAGTAACTCACCCATCAATAAGGTGAACGAGTTTCTGATACAACTGTTGATCACGTAAAAGATTTATCTCTGAGATTGTTGAGTCGAGTAACTGCATATCTACAATGTAAATCGAATCCAAATGATTGAGAGCTGCTTTTTCTTTCTCCAATGTTTCGGTGTTTTTACCTCTTTTTTCTAATTTGTTGATAGTGGCAACTTTTCTTTGGTACTCAGATTTCGTTAACTCAGCAGCCTATGAAACAATATTCAGCTGCAAAATTCAAAACATGACACAAAATGTGTGGATTTTTCTACCTAATTACAGCTGCAAAATTGAATAAGAAATTAAAGAAAGTATAGTAGAGTAAAGTTTGTCCTGAACTCACCTTAACTTGATTATAAAGTTTCTTTTCCCATGCTAGCAATTTGTCTAACACAGTAGCAAGAGTTTCATGCTTCTCTGAGTCAAAATCATCTTTCACTTCTTCCATATTTGGTGTTTCTCTGAAGGATCTGTCCCATGTTACAACTCGCATAACTCTTGCAGAGTAATCAAGGTTTCCTGAAAATGAAAAATACAAAACTATAAAACTAAAGATACTTATACAACATACAGTTTCTTTTTCTTTTGAGAACCATTAGTAATTAACTTATAAAGGAAGTAATCACCGCCACAAATCCATAATTACTCTATAAACATAAAATCTCAATGTATAAAGTGCGCTCGCAAGGCCCAAAGCGAAAGGTCTTAGAGCACCATTCAGTGGTAAAGCGCGTAGAGCAGGTGATCTCTCATTCATTCAGAGACAAGTAATTCTGCCTTCCAGACACGTATAACATCGTTTGATTAGATCCAACTGCTGCCCGCGCAACGCACCTTACGTCATACGAACGATTATAACCGCTCAAAGCACTTGATTTCAAGGATTCATATTCATTTTCACTTTCACATTATTTCTCATTCTCTCGTTGATTTAGAAGTTGTAGTTCTAATCTTGTAGGTCGGCCTCTCACTATTGCACTGGAAACTTACTCTGTTATATCAAGATCTCATTTCATCGTTTACCGAACAATCTTGTTAGGTAACAATAAATTTTGTCTTGAAAAATGAATAGAAAGAAGTTAAACATAATAACTTGCATCCGTGTCCGCGGCGTATAGGTGATTGACAGGTATCTGACACCGAACACGCGTTGTTGCTAAAGAGCTTGAAAAAAAATACAAAGAAACAAGTTTGCATTTTATGGTTACCTCCGGTAGTATTTGAAAAATTGGAATGATAGTGAAGGCGAGTGGCCTGGAGAATAACGGAAACCTCACGAGCAGACTCAGAAGCCATTATAAAATGATTATCAACTTCACTCAACACCTGAATCATATTCATACTCACACTTTTTTTCACTCTTCTACTCAAACCACATCGTTCAACAGTTTCTTCATCTACATCATCATCATCAACCACCTCTTCCAAACCAGTTTCCACAGATTCAAAGTCCGGCATGGTGATAGCACGGCGAAGAGCAGCAGGCAAATCAGGAAGAGGAGGAGGAGGCAAGGGAACATCATAAGAAGGAGAAAATGTAAGGTTCTGTTGTTCGCCTTGCGCGAAATCGATAAGAGCAGCGCCGGCGTTTTTGAGCGAGGCTGCGTAGGAAGAGTGAGCCGCCGCGAAGTTGTTACGAGATGAAACCGCCTGCTTCATGAAGTAATGACGGTCTTTACAGCGTGTGATGGCTTCTTCGTTCTCCATTTTTGATTGGTAACAACCCATTTTTTTGAAACCGTTGAGCAGTGAAGGTTAGTTATTAGTTTTAAATATCGCTCGCGTAAAGGCTTTGGTATCGATACTTTTCGATACAGTTTTTGTCGCGGCGGAAAAATCTTAGTGTTATTATAATTCTGTAAGGAGAGATTCGATTAGGATGGAAAGATGTGTGACAGTATGGAAGAATTGAAAGCTTCGGTGTCAAGGTAACGAAACGATGCCGTTTTAGTGGAGAATGTGAATGTTATTGCTTAGAAAGTGATATAGAGAATCTCAACTTTGTAGAACCATCGAAGAAGAGAAAAAAAGTTGTATAAAGCATAGTTCATAATACGTCGATGTTAAGGCAACGAAACGATGGCGTTTTGTGGTATCTATGATTATCCAAGTTGGATTATTTTAGTTGAGTAGAGTCCAAACTTTTAACAATTGTTTTTTTTAATTAATTATAAATAAATCGATGATATTCAATTAATATGGATTATAATCTATTGGTGGTAGTAAGCATTAATTAAAGAATTTTGTTTTTGAATGGGTTGTGATAAGTTTATCAATTATGTTAATTGTAAGGAAACATTCAAATTCAAACTTAATGAAAGGGGTTTTAGGAACATCTCAAATGAGTGTTTAGCCAGATTTTATTAAAAAATATTAGGTATGGTTAATCTCATTTCTTAAAGATAATTTTAAGAGCATCTTTAGTAAAAGTATCTTAAGTGGATAAATTAAGATATTTTTTATGGGCTTAGTGATTTGTATGATTTAAAAAATTTAGAGTTGATTTGAGTTGTTTTTACTTTAATAATAGTTGTTTATAAAAATTTAAAACTTGACCTGATATTTAATTATTTTTTTACTGAAGTTACCATTAATTTAATTATTTTAAATAAAATATATAAAATTGTCGAAAACTAAAAGTTAGTGAATATCATACGTTAATTATATAATTGTCGGTAACTAAAAGTTAGTGAATTAAATATTATGGCATAATCATTCAAATATAAATTATTTAGGCTTAATTGCAACTTTGGTCCCCCTATTTTGTGTTTTTTTGAGTTTTGATCCCCCCATTTTAAAAACCACGATTTTGGTCCCTTTTTTAAGTTTTAAGATTAATATTGGTCCCATTATCATTTTAAGTCATGTTTTTAATGAGGTGGCGCTTTGAATGCTGATGTGGCATGTCCATGTCAATTAAAATGGTTTTTTTTAATTTAATTTAATTTCCATGTAATTAAATTAAATATTATTTTATTTTCACAAATTTAATAAAATAAAATTCAATTGTAAATATCATTTCAAACCCAGTAAACCCTATTCCATTTTCACATTAACGTGTTCATCTTCCATGAAAAGGTACAAATCCAATAAACGTGTTCCATTTTCAAACCCAGTAAACCTTATTCCATTTTCACATTAACGTGTTCATCTTCAAACCCAGTAAACCCTATTCCATTTTCACATTAACGTGTTCATCTTCAAACCGCAGTTCTATAACCTCCATTTTCATCTTCTTCCCATTGTAACCCAAACCTTCATTTTCATCTTCTTCTCATTGTAACCCAAACCAGTTCTATATCAAACCGCAACTCGCTTCAAATCAAACTGCAGCTCGCTTCCCGTCGTCTCCGAAATGGCAAACCGAAGTTACGTGTCGAGGTATGTTTCGTAACTCACCTTTGAATATAAAAATCCTAAACATGCAAATGGCGTTTGTGTTCTATCATAGCATATGAATTGTTAATACAAACTCGCGGTTTTATATATGGTTTAATTCAGCTGCTGTTTTGTTTTTATTTTGTAGGCCCTCTGATACGGAAGCTATCAGATTTAGAATACACCATAGGGGACATTTAATTCAGAATCCAGTTCTGTTGTATGTTGATGGGCTTGTAAGTGAAATGAATTGGGATTGGGATGTAGACTTGATGTCCTACATGCAAATTGAAGATTTGATCAAGAGTGAGGGGTATTGTAATATAAAGTGTTTATGGTATTGGAATCCTAATTTTTCATTTTCTAGTGGACTTCGGCCTCTTAACAATGACAATGATGTCTTAAGGTTAATGGAGGATGTTAGAGGATTTAAGGTAATTGATCTTTATGTTGAACACAAAGTTGAAGAAATAAGTATTGAGGATGTTATTTTTG